ACACACACCACACAACCACACACACCACACACCACACACACACCACACATACCCAATGCTCCCAGAAGAGGGGGGGGCAGCAACAGGTCGAAACCTGGAGGCGGCCGTGCTGGCCGGCTGCCATCAAGCGGGGAGGGGCTTCTCGGTGCTCAACGAGGACACGAGATGCTGACACCCCCAACACAGAGACAGAGGGATCAGGCCAGCCCCCACGGGCTACAGGCTAAGGACTCAAGATACACCAGTGATGCCGGCTCAGCAGCAATGGGGTCCCAGGCTGAGGGACGGGAGTGACATGAGGAGGGTATACACACAGTCACAGCCTCACTTACTCACACACAGACTCATGCATCATACATCACACACACGTGGATACAGACACGGATATACATACATAGTCACAGCCTCACTCATTCACACAGATGCTTGCATCACACAGATACACATCATACTAAAAATACAAACACACACACAACACATATACATGTACACACAATACACAGATATTCTCATAGATACACACACAGCTACATATCCTTACTCACACAGGCATGTGTACACACACACACACACACACACCACACCACACCACACACGCACACACACACACACACACACACACACAGTCCAGGCATCTAAATGCTTCCCCAGACACCCCTCACTATAGATTCTCCCCTCTCTGCAGGGGAACATGGGCTACTAACTCCAAAGGCTAGACTGGGCTCCCTGCAGACCAGGGAGAGAGGGAGGGGGGCAGAGGGACTGAGAATTCGGAGGGGGGCATGGGGATGTGGGGGGAAGCTTTATTTTCCCGCAGGGTTATCTTCCCCTTTCCTAAAGTCCAGTCCTCCTCCTGTAGCCCCATCCAGACCCCCCCTGCCCTATCCCCACAGGTGCTTGTCTCATTGTAGTGAGATGAGACCCACCCACTGGCTCTTCCATGAGGGGGGGTCTACCCAGGCAAATGCAGGAGTGCCCCACCGTGGGAGTGCCCTCCCGTGGCATCCACCCCTGCACGTAGCAGAAAAACAGCCAGAGCACCTCCCATACCTGAAGCCCCACCCCCAAATTCAGCAGCCTCCAGTCCTCAGGGAGGTTAAGTACCCACCCAGGTGAGCCCACAACTAAGGCAGCCGCCCCTTTCTGCCAGTGGCAACCCCACTTTTGAGGCTCTTACCTGGGAGGGGGGCTACGACTGTCCCCTCCCTCAGGGTGGCGCCCCCACCCTCCCCCACCTCACCACCTACCTCCTTCTTGACCGTGCGCAGCAGCCTTTGCCGGGTCTCCGCCCCTGTGGGACAAGACAGCCGGTCAGCAGAAAGCTGGGACCGGGGCCTGGGGCTGCCCTCCTTCCTGCAGTGGTGGCGGTGGCGGCGGCGGCGGCTCCCGGGCGCTGGGCTCCCAAGCTGCGGCTGCGTTGGGGCGGGACCAGGCGCCCCAAGACGTCAGGACCCGTCAAGCGCGCGGCCCCGCCCCCCGGAAACACACTGCCTGGCCCCCTGGTTCCCAGCGCGCAGATCCTCCCTGCCAGATGCACATCCTCACTCCTGCACCTCCCCACGAACCCCCACCTTCCTGCCCAACGCCAGTGTCCCCCTTTGGTGGGGCAGGGAAGGACAGCACCTTTATTCAACGTCTGCTGTGTGCCAGGCTCTAGAAAGTGGCCGGAGATGGTGGGGCACTCTCTCTGCACCTCAGTCTTCTCATCTTTAAAACGGGTAGAATGTGATTACTTCATGGGAATGATATGGGACTTAAATGAGGAACGTAAAACACAATACAGACGCAGGGGGAACAGTCCAGTGCCTAGAAAATGTTCCTGCAGCTGCTATTTTTACCAGTATTATTAATATTATTAATATGGTTACACTATTATTGCTGACAGTGTCACAGGATATACTGACTCCATCCAGGAGAAGCCAGGCCTTAAGTGGCCCACTCCCCCCATCACATGCAGGTCCTGGGGGGGTGGGGTCCTCCCAGGAGCCTGTCCCCAGTGGGGCACAGCTGTTAGCCAGGGTCTCCACTGTGCCGGCTATGGGCTTGTTCCACCAGGTTTCTGACTGCATCCACCAGAATGCAACTCAGGTCAACAAATATTTCTTGGTCCAGGATACCGTGCTGGGTGCTGAAGTGAACAAGACAGACAAAAATTCTGCCCTGTGGAGCTTAGGAGGTAGACAACAAACTCAGTAAGTAAATGACATAGTATGTTGGAAGATTCTAGAGAAAAACAAACTAGACGAGGGAGACAGGGCCGGCCCAGATGGGTGGGGTTTGTATTTTGAGGTAGGGTGGCTGAGAGAGGCCCCAATGAGAAGGTGACATTTGAGCAAAGAGGAATAGGACTTATCCAACCCAACACTCCCAAGTTTTCTCCTCTGATCCTCTTCTCTTCTCTCACACCCTCTCTCCTGGGTTACCCTCCACCAGACAAACCAGAATCAAACAAACCAGAACACACAACAGGCATGGCCACTACCCAGAAGGCAGCCAGGGCTGGTTTCTACAGCTAACTCTAAGCAGTAACCCGGACACTTACAAGCATCTTCTTTGGAAACACTTATGAGCACAAGGATTTTCCAGGAAAACCCTAGTGAAGCTCTGCAAGTTGGAGGAACTAAATTAATGTCTAAATTCAATACAACCCCAAATTAACGGACAACAGAATTTGTTATATCCTGGAACTCAATGCAATGATTCTAAAGTTCATTTGGAAAAAAACAGCCAGGAATTTTTCAGTGCTAAGCAGGTTTAGTTTTTTCTAGTCCTTAGAATTTTTTTTTCAAGATGTAGCAAATTGAACATTGCTGCTCCCGGAGCACCATGGACAGTGCAGAATTGCGTTTAGCATTAGAGCTGAGGGTGCATGCTGGTTTCTATGAGCTAATACTGCCATTTCAAAGCAGTGGGTAAGGTCAGGATTGCTCAAGAAAAAGTGTCAGATAACGATCTCTCTCTTAATTAAAGTGGGTATTCACTGTGTGCAGCAAAGATTTAAATGTCAAACAAGGCAATTATAAAAATATTAAAAGAAAGAACTTGTGATTTAAAAAAAAATTTAAGTGCAAGGCCAAAGAAACCCAGTGAGCTTGGACACACGTATACACTTTTATCTATCCCCTCCTATACCAAGCTTCCCTGCATCTCACCATATCCACCTTCGTCTCTGTAAGCAGTCAACAAAAAACTGATACGATAAATACCATTAAAAAAAAATGGCCCCAAATATTTGAAAGCTTACAAATCACTGTGAATCCACTTGCAGGAATCTGCCTAGAGGATTTCAGATGAGCCTTGGCTTGAATTTAAGGACAGTTACAGCAGCTAAAATTTAGCTATACTGGCAATAGCAGGGATTTGGTTGAAGTATTAAGTGGTAAGGGCATACCTTTCTGAATTTCCAAGTGCATGTCGGTTAGTAAGGTCACCTGGCAGGTTCATCTGAGGATGGTTGATGGTCGAGACAAGGGGTGGGGGTGTCAAGAGATCGGGCAGACACCCTGGCTGGTGTGGCTCAGCTGGTTGTGGCATCCTCCTGTACACCAGGAGGTACCAGGTTTGATTCTTGTTCAGGCACATGCCCAGGCTGTGGTTCGATCTCCAGTAGGGGCACATGTGGGAGGCAGCTATGTTTCTCTCTTCTCTCTCTCTCTCTCTCTCTCTCTCTCTCTTCTTCTCTCAAAAAGAGATCAGGCAGAGGGCCCCACTCCCATTCCACTGAGACTCGGTGGGTCTGAGACCCTGCCAGATGCAGCTCAACATCGGCCTAATTTGGTCCAGGATGGACATGGTGCCCGGAGAGGCTGGGCCTGCAGGGTTGGAACTGGAGTGGGCACAGCACCTACCCTTCGTTAGAGTACCTGAACAGCCTGAGCTGGACAGAAGTTTCAATAAGGTTGAAATTTGTTATCCCTGCTGTGTGTGCATTTCTGGATTCTCTTATCCTGTATCCACTTGGTATTCGTGCAGCAGAACCCACAGCTGTGCTGAGAGGGTCTTGCTTTTATGACCTCCAGTGGGTCCCCTGCTGATCAGCACTCACATGGCACCATCCAGGTCCATTCATTTCCTCTGAACCTCATGCACTTCTCCTTCTTGTCTTCACTCAAGCCTCAACCTTCCACCCTCCTCTTCCATCCTAATTCTCAATGAGACAAATCGAACATCAGAACAAAATGCAACATCTTCCCCTACCACATCTCCCTCCCTGAGACCCTAAGGTACTAGGTCTGCTTCTACCTAAAGAAAATATCTCCGCTTAACACCCAGATATCTCTGGCCAGATCCCTTCCTGCACGGCCTAATACCCCACGGACATCTCACACTCCTGACTTGCCCTCCTACACATGTCGCACTTCATTTGAAGAAGTCCGATCCTTCCAGTTTCCCAGGCAAAAGTCTTTCGATTCATCCCAGACCCCTCTTTTTACCTCAAACCCTCACAGAAACAACCAGGAGATACTGTTGCCTCTGCTTTTCAAGACTAGCCAGTATCTGACAAGTTTTCATCACCTCTTTACTACCTCTGGTCCAAGCCACCAGCTCCCCCTGCTGGACACTGCAAGTGGTCGCCTTACTGGTCTGGCTTTTGCCTGGGTCTTCCCCTCAATGGGTTCTCAACACAGAACCAGGTAAATTGGTTCATGTGGCTCCTGTTCCCACCACCCCATGAGGGTTTCCGTTTTCGCAGTCAGAGAAAATTCCCTCAGATGCCCCCCCCACCCACTATCTCTCTGATTTCTCCTGCTTCTCTCCCCCTCGGTCTGCTTTGCTCCAGCTGCCCTGGCCACCTTATTCTTCCTTGGACATTTCTACCTGAAGAATTTGCTGTCTTTCCTCAACCTATAGCTCATGTAACCTTGTTAACTCACTCACTTCCTTCAAGTCTTTGATTCTCACCAAGACTCCTTTTGATTCTCACCTGTCCGCCATTAATTAATGCAACCAGCCCCCATCACACCCCACCTCCCTAGTAACTCTCAATTTCCGCTATTTTGCTATTTTTTTTCTGCATTTCCCTAGCAATGGCCACACTATGGCTATAGACATTATTTGTTGTTTTTATTTGATGTCACTGGAAGTGAGATTTTTAAGGGAAGTTCCTTGCTTTAGGCCCCGACAGAGTCTGGCACGTGGCAGGCATACAACAACTTGTAGATGATGACTAAACAGAGAGATAAGCTACTCTTTAGTTCTGCTTCCAAATGCAGACCCAGCCACCTGGTCAAATCCAGCCTACACTCCAGCCGCTGCAAGAGCAAAGCCAAGAGGCTGAGTCTGAACAACCTAGAGGAGCAGAGGGAGCATCTCAGCCTCCCGGTAAAAGGAGGGAAGAAGGCGGATATGGTGAGGGGCAGGGGATGCTTGACACAGGAGGGGATAGATAAGAGTGTATACGTGTGTCCAAGCTCACCAAATTGTATACATTAATTATGTACACATTTTTTCACACCAGTTGTACTGCAATAAAGCTGGGTGGGTGGGAAAGATACAAGGTAAAGAGTCTATTGGGTCTCACAGCAGGGACTTTAGCCCCAAGAGCAAATTGTGGAATGGTGGGAATTGAAGTCCAGGTGGAAGGCACTGAAAAAAAATGTAGCAATATTTGCTACAAAAAAAGGAGAAAGGAGATGGTAGATGGAGGAGGATTTTAAAAAATTAGAGAAAATATGTATTTATCCTGGTGGAAATCACCCAATACAGAGAAAGAAATATAACACAGAATGTACAAGAAAGAATAACAAAATCCCTGAAGTTCAGGTCAGAATCCATAGCTCAAGTAGAGGAACTGGCTTTTCTTCCAAGCAGGACACACCCTCCATGGTAATCAGACAAGCACAATGTACGTCTACGGCAGTGGTTCTCAACCTTCCTAATTCCGCGACCCTTTAATAGTTCCTCATGTTGTGGTGACCCCCAACCATAAAATTATTTTCGTTGCTACTTCATAACTGTAATTTTGCTACTGTTATGAATCGTAATGTAAATATCTGATATGCAGGATGTATTTAGGCGACCCCTGTGAAAGGGTCATTCGACCCCCAAAGGGGTCGCGACCCACAGGTTGAGAACCACTGCCTTAGAGGGACCCCTCCACACCCACTACCTAAGACTGTGACTCACAAATGTGACCCACAGCCTGGAGACCCCACCCCAGGGCGCTCCCTGAGGAACACCAGACCCTCTTAACCTCTGTCACCAAATGTTCATTCCACCTGCCCCATGGCACTGTCCCTTCCCACCGTGATCCTGTCCACATCAACCCATGCAAATCCCTCCAGGAAACCCCAGTGTCCTTTCTCTCTAAAATCTCTGAGTCTACGCTAGATTGCTAAAAATTGGTATCAGATTTTTGCCACTAAGGTTCAGAAGAGCTGACCTGCAATTCCCTGCCTGCTGCTGGGGTGGTATCGAGACTCTCCTGATCCAGGGAAAGCAGCTGGGTGCGTCCCCTCTCTCTGTTCTCAGATACATGTTTAAGACTGACATTAGTTCCATCTCAAATATTTGGTAGAAGTCAGAGGACAGGGACATTGTCTCCCCCCGATAGGGACACCAGCACGTGTAAGTCACCTTCCTGGCTTCTCTGCCAACTTTTGCCCCAGCCTTTAAAACGTTCTCGTCCAAATGTCCCCGTGACACTGTCACTTTTGTTTCTCCTCCACTAGA